CCGCTGCTGCGCCCGGTGCAACGGCTGGCAGTACCGCAGCTGCTTCCGGAACTGCTACCGGCTTTGGTGCCGCTGCTGCACCATCTGGGTTAGGCTTCCCAACCCAACCCGCAAGCGGAACGGCAGGCTTGACTGCGTTTGGCGCTGCGTCCAGTGCAGCCGCTTCCAGGGAGGGGCCGCGTAAGAAGGGCCGTGCGTGATTCATCATTGCTGATAGAAGGATAGCTGTTTCCACTCCGATTTTTCTCTCTAAAGGAGCACTCTATAACTGAAATATTCCTCCCCAAACAGTTTTTTCCTTTTCTTCTTTCTCTCTTGCCGTTGCTGTTTTCTCTGCGGCGCTGTACTCTTAACTGCTTTGTTTCCTTTTCTTTCCTTTCCGCTTGTTTTGCTATGATTATGATTATTAATTACTGTAATTTTGGCAGCCGTTTTTCACGGCGGAACGAATATGGTGCGCGGGGTCCTTTCCCACAGTCGACTGTGGAGGCAAGGAACCGGCAGCTTGACAGTGAAGAGTCTTAACCGATTTGACGATAGTGTCCCAATCGCTGTCCTGCTCTCACCGCCGCCAACACTTCCGACGAGTGCGTACAAGACGTCTCGTCGCTCAGCATACTCCGTGCTGCGGAGCCGAAACACACCCCCTACTGCCTGCGCGCAGAACTTGCTCTCCTCGCCAGATACCACAGCCACGACAGGTATAAAAAGTTGCTGCTGTGCGGCGCTGCTGTACCACGTGGCGGAGCAGTCGGGTCCTACCGCAGAGAAGCCAGATCGTGAGCGAGACGACTTCGTTTTTGCTTTGAAACTCGCCTCTGAAGAGCAGTCACTGCGCGACTTGCTTGGTGAGGAGAGGTATGCAATGTTAGTTGGGCCCGCACTGACACAGGCACAGCAGGTGGGTCTCTGCCAGGACCTTCCGCAGCTGGGCGAGGGCGGTGGCACGTGGGTGGCACGAATGCTACTTACACCGGAGGAGGACAATCGTGTCAAATGGTTGTTTGAGGACGAGACACCCACGTCCGCCACATTTGCACGTGTACCGTCGTTCAAGGCAATGTACGTTGCGTACCATGCCGGAAGAGAGGAGCGGCTCGACTTGCGACAATTCGAGGCCATTGAGGATCGCATGAGAGAGAACCGAATAGAATGGGATATGTCTGACGCCGCCGTTGCCTGTTCGTTTTCGATGAAACATGAGAAACTTCGACCATACCTTTGCCATGTGGTGCAGCACACACTGCTGGGGAATGGAGAGCCGTCTGCCGAGACGAACGCTGTGAAGAAGCCTGTTGCGACGTTGCGGCATGTGCTGGGGGGCATGCTTCTCCTGCAGTGCCTTAGACAATTGAAACGTGAAGCACAGGAGGCCGATGGCCACACGGCGCACCCTCCCACTTACTTGTTTGCAGCTGTCACGCAGCTGCTCGAACTTGCCGCTGCACTGCCGTCAGATGAGGTGGCTGATGTTGTTGGTATTCTAGCCAAGCTTTGTCGAGAGAGCGCCTTGTCATTTGCTGACAGTTGCGTTGTTCCCACGGAGAGCCTGCAGCTACCGGACTTTACGTTGTGGCTGCTGAAGGAGGCGCCCGATACCGCCGCGTGTCACCATCACTTCCGCCGCATGGTGTTGCGCAGCCAGGCGGAGGCACTCGCGTTGCTGGAAAAGAGCGGCCTCTTATTGACGCGTTCTATTGATCTTCGCGTGGTGGTGACTCTCCTGCTGCCGCTGCTCGATGGTAGCGGGCATGAGGAGTTTTTCTTCCTCGTTATCCGTGAGGTACTGACAGGGCTGGAGGAGAGTCTCCGTCGCGATGTGCACTGTTTCACCGCGGAGGACATGCGTCTGATTGCTGTGCTTGGCACACGCCTCTTTGAGGTGCAGCAGCAAGGGGATTCTTTTGTGCACCACAGTAGCGGCAGCTTCGACGCCACCGCACGCGGTCAGCTGGAAGAACTGCAGGTGATGGACGGCAGTCCCTGGGCGCTGGTGGCGCTGTCCTACAACTACCTCAAGGAGATCGTGAGGGCGCTCGCCCGGGACCACCGGAAGCTGCAGGAGCAGGTGCAGGCGCAGATGCGCAATATTGTGGAGGCTGTGACAGCTGATGTGCCGGGTGGTAATGAAGGGCAGCCGCTGCCACCACCCCGGGCGGACAAGAAGGATGATTCTTTTAAAAAGGCCCCAATGACCTCCAACTTCGACAAGAAGAAGGAGGGTGAGGAGAAAAAGGATGAGGCAAAGGANGGCAATGCGGCCACCCCCACTACTGCCCCCTTGAACAGCAGTAGCATCAACGACAGCAACATCGATACTGGCGGAAGGAGCAGAGCAAGCAGCAGCAGCAGCGGTCAGGGCGCGTCGCGGTTGCGGCTGTCAACACCGCCCTCTTTGCGGGAACGTTTTGTCGTGTTCATTGAGGAGTTGGTGAAGGCTTTGGTAGACGAAACGGGAACACAGCACCAGAAAGGCAGGGTTGTCAGCAAAGAGCTGTTTGACTTTGTGAACTATCATGTGCCTATTCCAAATATTCATGATGAATACCGTCGCAAGATATTCCTCCTTGTTAACGTCGTTTCCGAAAAGAGTCCTGCGACTAATAAGGGCACCAACAAGGATAACAACGAAAACGGCGGCGGTGCAGCGATAGACCCCAATGATGAGATTCCAGCGGAGTTACGGCTACTCGTGACGTCCCTACCGCTCACACTCTCACCGTGGGCGGGTGTTATGATTCTGCGTGAGGTTCTGAGCGAGTCCGCGGGAAACAACCCTAGATACATGTATGTGCTCAACGCAGCAATTGACCTGCAACTACCCATCTCTACAACACGCTCACGCATCGCGACGACGCTCAACATGTGGCAGTTTCTCAGCTCACAGGCGGATAAGCTCACTGTAAAAGAACAGCTGGCGATGAAGCAACGCTGCGTCTTCAATTTACCTCTTTCTTACGTGATGTCGTCATATTGGTCTCTCCTGACGTGGCTGTCGTTGCTGGCGATAATCGGGCTGAATGTTGTGGGCCTAGACTTCGAGTCGCAATACGTTGCCACACGCCTCTTTGAGGAATTTGGACCACCAGATGATGTCCTTGCACCGGCACCGGATCTGTGGAATAAGGACGGGGCGGAGGAGCTCACTTCCATCTACCTGGAAAACCCTGAGCTGAGCAGCAGCAGCACACATCACCCGAAACGGCACCGCAGCTCATCGGAGCTGCTGCTGTCTTCCGCGTCGTACCTTTTCCTCGGCACCGATGACCAGCGCCGGCCCATGACAGTTATACCGATCAGAAGCGACGAGTCTCTCACCGCTACTGAGCGTGCGGCGGAGGAGTACAGCTGCGCCTCCGCCGTGCTGCGGGAGTTATCACTGCAGCTACACTTCCCATTCTACCTTTCAATCGAGCAGCAGCTCCCGGTGGAGCTTATTATCGCTCGTGTGGCGGAGCGTATCCGACGCGTCTCCTTCGACAACGCATGGTTCGTCAGTCGCGTCATCTTTCGGACGTTCCCGCTGGGGCGGTACCACACTGAGTACGGTCTGGTTGCACACACCTGCGCACAGGCGAACCTCACGCGCCGCCGCATGACGTTCCTGCTCTACTTCCACCAGGGTGCGCCGCTGCCTCCGCAGCTGTTTGTCCGCCTCCGCTCGAGTGTTCTGGCGCAGAACGGCAACCTCGTCGTGGTGGCGCACGAGGAAAGCCTGCAGAAAGGCGGCACCACCGCCGACACTTTCCGTGAACTTGGCGAGAGCGGCGCGGTGCGCTGCATTCCGTACAGTAAGCAGTGGGCAATGTCTGCAGAAGGGAGCACTGAGGTGACGACGAAGTTCGGCCCGGAACTGCCCACGGCGGTCGAAAAGTTCCGCGTGTTTGCGGCCAAGATCTGGGGCGACGTGGCTGCGAAGGCGTGCTGGATTGGGCAGAAGCACTGCGAGCATCTTTCCGGCCGGCGAGGCATGTCCGAGGTGTTTTCTTCAAAAGCGCCGGCCGGGGCTTCTGCTGCTGCTGCGATCCCCCTGGACTGGATTGCTGCGCAGAGCGAGTTGGCGGGTGGAGATCCGTTCCGTCGGTTTTTGTAGGGTGTTTCAGGGGGCAGTGTAGTGGCCCACCGCGTGTGTGTGTGTGTGTGTGTGTAGCGGTGTACAAGCTGCACACACTCTGAACACGCGTGTATTTGCACAGTGTCTGTACGCATGCAACTCAACTCTCTCTCTCTTCTCTGTAGCAGCGGTCTCTGGAGGGGAAAAAAAAAGAACAAACAAAGGGTATAGAACCAACGAAAGGAACGAAAGAAAAGGCGTATCCAAGTTTGAAGGACAACAAGCACCAACACCACCAACAGCCAAAGTATCCCAAGCAAAATGTGTGGACTGTGCTGCTTCTGCGTCTCGACCTCGACACTCGGCGTTGTGGAGAGCTGCGGCAAGTTCAGCCACCTTGCGGACCCCGGCTGCCGGTGCCTCATACCGTGCGTGGAGACTGTGCGGGGCGTCGTGCCGCTAAAGCTGCAGTGCGCCTCCGTCAAGGTGGAGACCAAGACAAAGGATAACGCACTGGTTGTTATCACGGCGTGTCTGCATTACCGTGTCCTGCCGGACCGCGCTGCAGACGCCTTCTACCGCTTGTCGAACCCACGCGAGCAGATCGGCAGCTTCACCGCCAACGTGATCCGTGGCGAGGTGCCCAAGTACACACTTGATGAGACGTTCGTCATGTCACGCAACATCAAGCAGGCGGTGGAGGAGGAGCTGAAGGAGCGTCTCAGTCAGTACGGCTTCACCCTCGAGGCAACACTCGTGACACAGATTGAACCGACGCACGACTTGCAGACGGCGATTGCACAGACGCAGCTCAACGCTTACCGCCGCACCGCCGCCGAGCACAAGGCGGAGCTTGATAAGATCGTGCAGATCAAAGCGTCTGAGGCAGACTTCGAGGAGAAGCGGCTCGCCGGTGTTGGCCTTGCGGAAGAGCGGCGCGCCATCATGGAGGGGCTGCAGAGCAGCATCGAGTCCTTCGTTGACGGCGTGCCGGGGGTTGGGGCGCGCGACGTGATGAACCTGCTGCTGATGAACCAGTACTTCGACGCGCTGAAAGACGTTGGCAGCTCGCCCAAGAATCAGGTGGTGCTGCTGCCGCCGGGGGGAAGCCACCCGATGCTGACGGAGATGCTGGCCGCACAGCAGACTAGTAAGTTTATGCGCTGATGAGCAGGTGAAGTGGGGTGGGGGTATTCCTCTTTTTGCCGTTTTTTCGCTGTGATCGCGCTTGTAAGACCCGAAAACGGAATGGGGTGAAATAGTATTGACACGGTGAGGGTGTGCGTGGAGCGAATGAAATAACATCCAAAGAATTGGCCACTGACAGAAATGCCTAATCCGCGCGGCGTATGGTACCTGAATCCGAGCCGTTTACACTTCTTCTGGAAGCTCCCCTATTACTCAAATGCTTATCTTGTTTTCTTTTTTGTTGTATTGCTTCTGGGGGGCCTGTTCTTCCAGCCCTTCTTCAGTTGCGTGCTGTGTGCTTTATAAATAAATACCAAAAAAAAAAATAGAAAAAGAAAGACGATGTCTAAGAGAAAGACGCATGAGAATGTAATAGTGAATTATCGTGTGTGCTTATATATTTCACTTCACGGTTTGCGTCATTGCTGCTGCTGCTGCTGCTTCTTCTGTTTTGGTGGCAGCAGCTCCAATGTAAGCCCGCCCAGTCTTTTTTCTATCCCAAACGTCACGTATAGACGTGCGAGTTATTTAGACCCTTTGACCTCTCAATTTTTATTTCTTTCTCTCTCATTCCTTCTACTGTTGCTGTTGTTGTTGTTCTTGCTGCCGCCTCGCCCCCCGGGCTTTTCTTCGGCGCCCGTTCCTGAAGGAGGCAGTTGCGGATAGGAGACACACAAAAGGCGAAGGATTTGTATTCAGTACACATCCGCACTCACCCACACACACACTCAGAGAAAGACGACCTGAAAGGCGGTTAAGACCCAGACAGACAGACAGACAGACACGCAGAAGACGCAGGGCGAGAACTTATACGTTTTATACACTAACTCGCAGCAAACTAAGTATGGCGACTGTCCAGAGGCTTGCCGAGCGGCTTGAGTCCGACTCACCGCTAACGGAGGAGGAGATTATGTACTGGACGGAGGGGAGCGACGTCATGCGCGCAAGCACATTCTACGGCCGCAACCTGGAGGAGGCGAAGAGCTGCGTACGGAGCATATCCAGTACACTCATCACCAAGTACCTCAATAACCCCAATACGAACGTGGTGCCACTGGATCACAAATCACATATATGCCTCGTTCTGAATAACTTTGCGCTTTACAAACCGGTGCGCAGCTGCATCTATGACGTCTTGGACAAGTTGGAAGGCATCTTCGAGGAATCGATACGGGAGGAAGGCATGCTCCCGTTCAACCCCGACCTTGGGCGCATGACGGAGCATGTCGCGGTGCTGCTGATGCGCGTGACCGGGTACAAACTCAAGGCTGCCAACGTGCTGGAGTTTACAGACGGCAACGCACAGTTCTCTGTGCAGCTGATGCTTGCTATTCTGCTGAAGGAGCCCGCGTACGAGCTTGCACTTCGGTGTAACTGCATTACNGCCATTCTCGGATTTACGCAGCCGCAAGCCTTCTTTGAGTCCTCAAAGGCTTTGGAGGAGAGGTCCTGTGAGGAATTCACGGAAAAGATTGACTCTATGCTGAACTTGATGCTCCGCTTAAAGGCCGTTCAGGTGCTTAGTGATGTCTTGACCGAGCAGCTTGACCACAAGAACGCGGTGACACCGCTGATACACGTGGCGACGTGCAGCTCGATGCGTTGCATCATAAACATCTTCCGCTTCTCATCCACGCGGTCGACGCAGTGGCGGCAGCATGTTCTTCTCTCCACAACATTGCTCGACCATTCGGTGACGCTGTACATGCATCTGCAGTGCGAGGCGCTGCAGAAGGTGTTGGATAGATCAAAGCCCAGCGTCAATGTCGAGATGCTTCGCGGCATGTCGCTGGGCTTCAAGTTTGCCTCCCTTTGCACCTTCCGCATGAACCACCACGCCAGGGAGGCACGTCTCTTCTGCCCTTACCTGCATGACATGCTACAGCTGTCGATCCGTCCCTTAATGCAGGACCCGGCGGTGGCGGGAGTGCTCATGCGCGTGTTCGTGGATATGTTCCACTTCATGGCCAACATAGACGCCCTCGGTGGCGATGGCGATTTCGCACCGGGTGATCTTCTTCCGCAGCTTTGCAGCGAGGAGCTGCTGAAGAGCGTGGAGGCGTTCTTGCAACAAGAGGTGGCGACCGGCGGGATGCAGTGTGTGGAGGCATGGCACAACGCCCTCAGGACGGTGGAGCCGGACACGCTGGTTGAGCGCGACTCCCCGACGTTTGCTGTGCTAGAGAGAATCTTCAGCGACATGGAGGCGCAGCATCGGCTCGCCCCCGGCGGGGGGGCTAGAAGGGGCGAGAAGCGTTTCATCAACGAAATGCCGCTGTCGCACACAAAGCCGGCGGAGGCGAAGATGTCGATTGAGAACGCTGCTGCACCTGTGGACTCGACGCAGCGCATCGGTGTGGTGCGGCAAGACGTCATCTCAGGCTCCGAGCCCGCTCTGCTGTGTGCCCTCACCGGCAACGTTATGAAGAAGCCTGTCGTGTCGCCGTACGGTCACACGTTCGACCAGGAGGCCATTCTCGCGTGGCTGCAGCAGAACGGCTCAGTGTGCCCTATCACCGGCAATGTACTTACCGCAGATGCACTGAAGCCTAACAAGGAGGTGACAGCAATCATCATGAAGCAGGTCATCCAGCAGAGCATGTCCGGGTACAACCAGGAAAACGAGGCGGATCTCTACGACTTCTAGAGAACGCGCCCCAACAACAGCAGCAGCAGCAGCAGCGGCAGGGGAAGGGGGTACACACCCGCGCACGTGCAGTGGTGGAGCTAAAAGCAACAAGGCGGCAGCGTACCCGTGGAAGCTTGTAAAACAACAAGGGCCACACGAAGGGGGCTCGGAGATAACAACTCTTGCAGCCGCTAATGATGAAGAGACGAAGAAAAAAACAAAATGGAGACGGGATGGAAGGAAAAAGGACGAATGAGAGATAAGGAGAAGAGAAATAAATATTAGGTGGGACTTTGCAGTACTTCAAAAAGGAGGAGTCTGTTGTGTGTATGTATCTGTGTGCTCGAGGGAGGGTGCGAATTAAAGCTGAGGGGTGTGAGAGGCGACGAAGATGTGATCGCGACAGGAGAGGAGGCGCGCGGGCGGGAGTGAAGAGGGGCGATGAGGAAGCAATGACGCGTAGGTGTGCATGTGCCGGGGCTCATCACGCAGAACTTGCGTGTGCGTTTCTGTCTCTTTCTCTCCTTCACATCGCTGCCGTTTCTCCTCTTCCTTCTGCATTGTTGAAATGTAGTGTCGCCTACTTACCCAGGCCCGCTTTATGGTCCTCCTTGCGCTTTTCTTGTTGGTGTTTTTTTTTTTTTTGCTCTCACCGTTCTATTGCAGTATGTGCTGTTTACCTTCGCCCGTTTCTCGTCTTTATTGTTTTTTCCCCCTTTTTTTTCTATTTTCGCTATTACAATCACAAGACCAGCAGCCTCACACTCGCGTTGTGTGCATGCCTGCTTGACTCCGCGTCCGTCTGTGTGTGCGTGTGACTCCTCCCGCTTCTGCTTCTGCTGCAGCTGCTGCTGCTGCTGCTGCTGCTGTTCGATCCTCCTCTTCCTCTTCGACCCCATTCATGCAATTCGCGCGGCTGCTGTGCAGTGGTCGGTCGCGGTGGCGACTCACGCACACATATTGCAACAAGAACACAAACAAACAGAAATGACAGATGCGGGCCCCGGCAGCGCGAAGCCGGAGGACATCGTGAAGGCGACGGCGGACGCCACGTCGCGCCTGCGGGACGCCATGGCTGAGGCGCGCAGAGACCCGTCCAAGGAGATCGGCATCTCCGCGGAGGAGCTGCAGCAACGCCGCAAGCTCGCCTCCACGCCGCGCAATTTTGTCAGCGAGCAGACGAGTCGCGCGTTCGAGGTGAAGAGCTCCGCACGGGCGCAGCAGATCATGAACAAGGGCCTCGCCACACGGCAGCGGGAGATGCGCAAGAAGGAGATAGCAGCAAAGATGACTATCTTGCGCAGGATGCAGGTAGGGGTCTTCGTGGCGGGCATGGGCCTGCTGTGGTGGATGGGTGCCGAGTACCTGCTGCCGCAGTACGCCGCGGTGCAGCAGCGGAACCGTGTGCTGCAGCTGCGCCAAGAAATGGCACAGCGCAAGCGGGAGGAGTACGCGAGGCAGCGGAACGAGACGGCGCAGTGACGCCCGCGTAATTTCGAAACAGGAATGAGAGGGGGCCTGCTGCCGCGCAGGTTTGACACGACGTTTGTAGAGCACCATGCTTTCTGTTCTTTTGCGCCTGCGTGCGCTCTCAGAGGCACATTGCCAAACTCTTCCGTTCTCACTCACCTACCTACTCGCTGTTTATTCTTCTTGTTGATTTTGGGGCGCTGCGAAACTCATTGGGACTATAGTTAACACTACAGTTTGCACATTTCTCGCTCGAAGGCAGCATCAACAAACAAAAAAATACCACCACAACCGCAACCTCAAAGAACAGCACCAGTGAGAGAAAGATAATGATGTCCAGGTGGAGTATCGCTCTCCAGGCGCTCTTTATTGCGCTAATCGTGATGGCCGTTGCGACGGCGGATGATTCGCCCCAGAGCCCACAAACCGAAACCAAAAGCACAGAGGCTGCGGCGAAGGAGGGTGCGGCGGCAGAGAAGGGCGCGCCCATTTCCTTTCAGGCAGAGGTAAGCAAGATGCTTGATATCCTCATCAATTCCCTCTACACCAACCGTGCCGTCTTCTTGCGCGAGCTCATCTCGAATGGAAGCGACGCGCTCGACAAAATTCGCATGCTCTACCTCACTGCGCCGAAGGAGCCGGTTAACAAGGACGGTGAGGTGCCGACACTCGACATGCGTGTGTCGATCGACAGCGAGCGCAAGGCCCTCGTGCTGCGCGACGGTGGCATCGGCATGACGCGGGCGGAGCTGGAGGAGCACCTCGGCTCGCTCGGCACCTCCGGGACGAAGCGGTTCGTGGAGCGGCTGCAGGAGTCGAAGGACGCCAACCTCATCGGGCAGTTCGGCGTTGGCTTCTACTCCGCCTTCCTCGTCGCAGACCGCGTGCGCGTGGCGTCGAAGAGCGACGACAGCGACACCCAATGGGTGTGGGAGTCCGCTGGCGACGGGCAGTACTACGTCTACCCCGACGAGCGCGGCAACACGCTGGGGCGCGGCACGGAAATCACGCTCGAGATGAAGCCCGACGCGCTCGAGTTCCTCAACTCCGACAACGTGCGCAAGATCGTGCACCAGTACAGCGAGTTCGTGCACTTCCCCATCTACGCACAGAAGGGCGACACGTGGGAGATCGTGAACGAGAACAAGCCGATATGGACGCGCAAGCCGTCGGAGGTGACGCAGGAGGAGTACTACAAGTTCTACAAGGCCCTCGCACGCGACTATCGCAACCCGATGCACTACTCGCACTTCACTGTGGAGGGCGAGGTGGAGTTTAGCTCCGTCCTCTTCATCCCGGAGGAGGCGTCGCAGGACATCTTCATCAACAACGAGAACACGCGTGACAACATCAAGCTGTATGTACGCCGCATCTTCATCACGGACGAGTTCCGCGAGCTGCTCCCACGCTACCTGAACTTTGTGCGCGGCGTTGTGGACAGCAACGACCTCCCGCTCAACGTCTCGCGTGAGGTGCTGCAGGAGAGCCGGATTCTACGCGTCATTAAGAAGAAGCTCGTGCGCAAGGCCCTTGCGATGATTTCCGAAATCGCCGAGAACGACGCCCGACTCAAGGAGAACCCAGCATCAGCGGCAGAAGGGGAAGGAGATGACACGGCCGCCGAGAAGAAAGCAAAGGAGCCGGTGTACCCGAAGTTCTGGGCGCAGTTCGGCAAACACATCCGCCTCGGCATTCTGGAGGACGCCAACAATCGTGGCCGCCTCGCAAAGCTGTTGCGGTACGTCTCCAGCAAGAGCAACGGCACCCTCGTCAGCCTCCAGGAGTATGTCGACCGCATGAAGCCGCGGCAGAAGGGCATCTACTATCTCACCGGCGACTCCATCAAGAAGATGAAGCAGTCGCCGCACATGGAAGAGGCGCTCCTGCGCGACGTGGAGGTGCTGTTCATGACGGACGCCATCGACGAGTACGTCGTCGGTCAGGTGCAGGACTTCGCGAACAAGAGGCTGTACAATCTCGCCAAGGACAGCGTCCTATTCGAGGAGCAGACGGACAGGGAGAAGGCCATTGAGAAGAAGCGTGGTGAGAAGTATCAGCCGCTCATTGATCGCCTCGCTCGCCTCTTCAAGAGCAGCGACGTGCGTAAGGTGATTCTGACAAAGCGGCAGAGCTCGGAGCCGTTCATTTTGTCCTCGCAGGAGAATGATATGACGCCGCGCATGGTGAGCATCATGAACCAGCAGGCCATCTCCTCCGCGCAGCCGATGCGCTACACACGTGTGTTAGAGATTAACTACCGCCACCCGCTCGTGCAGCAGCTGCTGACGCGCTTCCAGGAGGACGCGAAGGACCAGCTCGCCGTCGACGTGGCGTGGGTCCTCTTCGGCACCGCCAGCATGCAGGCAGAGTTTCCCGTCACAGACCAAGCGCTCTTCGCGAAGCGTATGGGCCGGCTGCTGCGCGGCCGCATGAATCTCACGCTGGACGAAGGACTTCTGCCGCCGGACGATGACGAGTACGACATCTCCGACGTGAAGCCGGAGACGTCCGCCACGGACGAAAGCCTGCTGCTGCCGATCGACAAGGAGGAGGAGGCGGAGGCGCAGGCCGCAGCAGACGCCGGCGACTTGTAGAGAATGAACTCGTTTCGCGTGCGACGGGGCAAACGAGGGGCGGGCGCCCGGCAGCAAGAAAAGAGAAAAAAGGAGTTTTTGTTTCCTCCTCCTTTCTTCTGCCTGCATCTTGCGTGGGCGTCCCAGTGGGAGGCGGCAGCGGCGAGGGAATGGGCGAGGCCTCCCCCCCACCACACACACCAAGAAGGAAAGAGAAGAATAAGACAACAAGAGAAAAAAAAGGGTTGATGTAAGAAAAGGTGAGGAAAAAAAAGAGGGGGACGCGTTGTGCCTTGCTTCTTGTTCTATATATATATATATATATATATATATATATATNTATATGTATGCATTGTGCGCCACACGTTTTTGTTGTTGGAGTAAAGCACTGGCACGCTGTGCGGGGTTATTCTTGCCCATCGTTCTCCCTCTTTTGTTCTCCGCCTTCCGCTGATTATTACTGTTACTCCTATTGGTTACACACACTCGCGAGAAAACGCCCACACGGTTGTGTGTGTGTGTGTGTGTGCTGTCGCCCAACTCTCTGCACAGCGGTCGTACAGCAGCAGAAGTAACAGAGACATGCATGGGCCGCATTTTGTCCCGTCTTACTCTCTTTCACATGCACTCACCAGTGTAGTAGTAAAGTAGCCGGCCTGCACCACACACATACACATACAACCCACAGCCACACACGCAGATCATAGGAGACCACGTGCAATGGCGGCCGCAACAAAAACAGCAGCTGCATCGACAACAGACGAAGCGCAGCTGCCGCGCCGGCTGAAGGCGTCGCTGCTACCTGTCCGCGCAACGCTCGATGCAGGACCCGACTTCTTCCTGGCGTCACGCCACGTCAGCGAGGAGGCGTCGCGGCGGTGCCTCGCCTCACTCTTCTCCCTCGCCTCTTCCCTGCACTCGCCGCAGCTTCCTTACTACAGCAAGTCGCTCGAAACGAGCCGGGCGCGGCATGTGACGCCGGAGCAGGTGTGGGGACAGTTGAACATGCTGCTGCGCCCAGTGCTGCGCCGCCTGCAGGACAACGTGCGGCGCGCGCAGAAGACATTCAGCAGCGCCAGCTACGAACAGCAGCACGCCGGTGCCGTGCGACGCCAGACGAAGCGGCGACGGGATGAAGACAACGATAACAATGAGGAGGGAGGGGACAAGGATGCGCTCTCGACCAAGACGTCAGAGATGAGCGAGAGCGACCTTGACGAGGAGATCGCGCAGCTCCTAGCAGTGCAGCAGCAGCGGCGGCAGCAGGCGAAAAGTGGTTCGAAGGGCGCTGACGGCGACCACGCGTGGCGCTACGCCTTCGGGAAGGGCAATGAGGACGACGACGAGGCGGAGTGGGGCGGCGAGAAGGACGAAGAGGATGGGAATGATGAGGATGATGATGATGACGGGGATAACGCACGCATCCGCCGCAGGCACGCGCGGGCGATGACGGCGGCGGCGGCGAATGGCGACGAGGACGAAGATGATGATGATGATGATGATGGTCAACGCGGTGAGGAAGAGCTGGCGGCGCTGCGGGAAATGTACGGTGAGGACTTCGTGCCGGAGGACGACGACGACGACGGATCCGCGGCAGAGGCGGGCGGTGACGAGGACGACGACCCACAGCTGGAAGAGGACCTCGCGTGGGACGACCCGAGCGCGCCGTTCAACGAGCGCGACGGGCAGTACTGGGGCGGCGACGATGACATCCTTGCCGACGACGGCACCGCGCAGCACGAGCAGCAGCGGCAGCAGGAGGACGATGAGGACGACGCGGAGCTCAACGACCCCAGCTTGACGGAGCTACAGCGGGAGCGGCTGCGCGAGCGGCGACTGGTGTCGCGGCTGGAGCAGGAGCGGCTCTACAATACGCAGTGGGCGATGGCCGGCGAGGCGAGCGGCAACAGCCGCCCACGCGACGCGCTGCTGGACGAGGCG